AGAACAGGAAAGACAAAAAAAATTAACAAAAAAAAACAAAGAATAAAAAGATAAGCCTCAAAGAAGCCCCGCAAGTACCTTTCGCTGGCTTTGACGCAAACAACAGTCTTTTTTTTTGTTTGAGATGAAATGGCAATCCAGATTTATGTGGTGGACGTATTGTGCAACTAATGTACGACGACTTGTGTCTCACAATAGCAAATCCGAAAGTACCTTGGTGTAACCAAGATATTTATTGTGTTATACTTATTATGTACAGCAATTCAAGTACTTACGTATGGAGTTACGTATGTATCTTATGTATGTTATGTATACGTGTTATGATAAAATCTACGAAAGTTACATGTAAAAAAAATGTTAATATTATTTTTATATGGATCTTAAACCTATAAAAGGTTAAATTGTTTCTGCTGAGAAACGCCATGAACAGAAGATCCAATCAAATTACCATCTGATCCTAAGAGATATGCATAAGTTCTTTAGTGGAAATATATGCTACAAAAAAAAAAATTTACATAATCTGTTCCTGATAATGAAATTTATCAGAAGAGAATAATATACTTAGACACATGATTTTATTATACTGTGATCATGTATCTATGTTTAAATAATTTCCCACCCTTTTTTATTTTAATATTTCAAGATCGACAAAATTTTTGTCGAATTTGGTGAATTCAATGTTATTCTACTAGATTCTCACGATACGTATTACGGAATTTTGATAGTCCTGTTATTATCGATTTTGAATATATTTTCCGGAATAGTTGAAAATTGCTAAATTATCTTCGGACTAAATTACCTACTTTAAGTGCTTATAGTTTAGGGAGTATATTAGTTATTGTATGATTTTCCGAGAAACATTTTCCAAAAGATATGGTCCAGTTGACTTTATCGGGATTATGTTCCTTCGGAAAAATGACATTCAGGAACTTAAGTTACAATGGAGCTAAAATACCTGATAATGTTCCATATAGAGAATATGATATGTTATCTAATACAGTAATAAGGAAGGTGGTATATTTGAACGTCTTTCACATAGAGATTGAAATTTTCTACCCGGGTACTATTAAATTACCCGGTTATCCGGGTAATTTATTATGACCATATAATAGAAATGTCTACCCGGGTACAATCTCTACTTTCACATTCGTATATACCTCATTGAAAGAAAGGGTTGGCTTTATGATAATTCATAGATAACTATGAATGGGCTTATGGTTTTCTGTGGTGATATTTATTTCAAAAGTAAATATCGGCTCTCACTACATGAAATCTGCCGGTAAATTTTTTAAAATAGGCTAGTCTAAATTCAGATAGTATACCGATATTTTTACGTTTCACATAATATGAGTGCCACAAAATGAAAATCGTAATTAAATCGTATTTATTTTCGGAAAATTCGCTTTTATAGGATATCGACTTATCCATACGTAATATATGTAACTGAAACACCGCTCTACTGCCTTCATATTTTTATATTATCACATCAAAACTTCATAAATATTACTTATTAACATTCGGATGCATTTTCAGTGAAATGTTAAATCCGAAATTTAGAATTACGGCTTTTCGTTTTGCGCCACTCATATATAAGTTTCAAACAATTCTTTGACTATACTATTGTATATCAATGCAAAAAAAAATGAAAAAAAAATGTGTGAATTAACTTAAAGCATTATGGTATGTAATCGATACGAAGTTGGCTATTAACCTAAAAGTTAGTGCGAAATAATATAGATACGTCTAAAATTTGGTGCAGAAAGCTCACGTATTTAAAGAAGCTGGTTCTCATAACTTTTTTTTTTACTTTTGGTTTAGCCAATTACAGATTAATTTTATGATTCGTTCCAGATTTGTGTAACATATTCATGACGACCACAACACTAAAAAAGGATATCGAAATAGAAACCGGCCGGGCAGAGACTCCGGAGCCATTCATAACGTACAAAATCAATAATTTCACAATTGCTTTCTCGTTATTCAGATTTTAATCCCTAACAGAAGACTTAGAAATGACATCTTCATACAATAATAATATTATTTTACCGACTGCATGGGATATTGAAGGTAAACCACCATTTATTATCATAAATTCAAGTGGGCTTAAAGTGGATTATGCAAGTAAGTTGAAAATGTGAAACTAGATTGAGCCAACATTTCAATTGAATGTTACTCATTGATAGTTTAATTAAAGAGCATTCATATTGATTGTTAATTAATATATTCAAAAAAAAATTTTAAGATCCTGATGATTTTAAAGCTGCTGATTCCTTCACAGTGTGGAATATTTTACTTTGAAATCAAAATTATAGATAGAGGAAAAAATGGATAATATTAATAATCATAATCATTTCGTGTCATAAACATCTTTATTCTCGTAAATTTTTAATTTTATTTCTTAATATATAGAATGATTGGTGTATATGTTGTGCGTCAGATTAAAACTTGCGTCAGATTGAATCTGACGCACGTCAGATGATTATCAGTTGACCAGCAT